TACCGATGCCGGGTTCCGATAGCGTGGCGATGCACCTGGGACCATTGTTGGAGATGGGTCTCGAGATTGGTACACAGATCCAGCCCGTTCGAGTTCTCAGGCGCTTTACTAGGCCAGCATAACAGGTTTGGTGCTAATTCCTGTAGCAAGAGGAGTCACTTACTCATGTATAACCTACAAGATGCGTCAAGGTACAGTACTGTCCTGTAGCCGCTCATGCCCCGGCCCGCAAAGAACGGGACTGAAGGGGAGCGCCGGAGGAAGCGCTAACCCAATACGGAATAGCGCGTCTCCGAAATCTTCCTGGAGTCCATAATGAATTATAGTTGTTGTTGCCATCGACCGTGCAAGAAAAAAGAGAAACTCAGGACTGGCGACCCCTCCTCTCACCCCTTCTCCACCACTCCGAGTTTCCGGTTTCTCACATATTCAATGGCTTCGACACTGTCCACTCGCGCGGTCAGGACGCTCTCCGGCCCCGCGTGCCGCACCCTCGCTCGTCCCAGCGCGATCGAATCCGCTCTCCTTCCGCGGCGAGCCTTGTCGACATCCACGGAGGCGGCGCCTGCCAGCCAGCAAGATCGGCCGCGGTGGTCATACACGCCCGAGCGTGCAAAGGCCCCCTTCAGTCTGCGCATTGATTCCAAACGCCCGGCCTGGAACTCCAACTCCGACCCTAGGATCCTCGATCGGTTCTACATCGGCCTGCTCGGCCCTGATGGGGACAAGCTCCTATCGGACGAGGTCAAATGGCTGGCCGTGACGCACAAGAGTTTTGATCAGGGACGGAGAGGTTACAACGATCGTTTGGCTTTCTTGGGTACGTACGGGGGAGGAGGGAGAGGTGGAACGGGGGGCCCAAGGCATTCCCACTTACCGATGACATGACGGCGTGGCTAACCTTCGATTTTCTTGTCGAATAGGCAAACGGATCGTCAAACTACAGGCTTCGCTGGCCCTGGTGCAGGGTCCGGCTGCCAGTGCCCCGACTCCGGACGCCTATGGCCGCGTGCCCTTCAGCCATCCCGATCTGGAGGGCTTGAACAACCTCTCCTATAACATCAAGAACTTCATGACACACAAGGCCAAGGTGGCGCAATTGGCAAACAAATACTCACTCGCGAAGGTTCTGAGATGGTCTCCTCGGCAGGTGAGTGACTTGCATATCTTGAAACGAAAAACCGATGCTACTTGCCCCTTATCCTCGGTTCCTATCATGCTACAATGAAGAGCGCACGCGAGTTTCGGAACAGGTCGTGGCTAACATGTGGACTTTCTCACGAACTCTAGCCCCTCAACCTTCAGGCTTCCGGATTGGAACTCGTTCTCGCCCACACGATGTACGCTATTATCGGCGCCATCTCGCTGGAGAAGGGCGGCGACGTCGCCAACAAGGTGGCACGTGAGCGGATACTCAAACCCCTGGGCTTTCAGCTCGAGGCATGAAGAAGTCGGGGAGGCAGGATTGAATTGAATTCTTCGGGGCAAATTTTCGCAGGGAGCATATCAAGGCGTTTATTTTCCTTTTTTTTCCCCTTCTGTTTTGGTCTTGGGGGGATCTTGGTCCCATATGTGTACTGGGGGATCATCACTTTTCGTTCGACCGTATATTATGTATTTTTAACCACCACCACCACCACCACTACGACCTGTGCTATATGGAACTGCAAATACCAACCCGCAAGATTTTTTTTCACTCTGTCCTGGATATTCGAGTACATAGCATATAGCAAGCTTAAAGGTCGATAACACATTTAGGGGGAAAATAGGGATGTATGGTTCCTCTGACACCGCCCGAGTAACAGTAAGCAAAATACTCGGCCAGCTCTTATGGAACCCTCGAAGAATACGATTCTTAGTCTTCGCACCTTGGTATCGCAAGATCAGCCATGGAAAACCGAGAACAACCAACAGAATGTCGAGTTGAACTTGGAAATCGCTTTGCATGCAATTTACACTGGCTTGCACTGTCTAGAAAGGGCGTATGGTACAAAGAAAGAAAAGAAAAAAAAAGAGCCGGAGGAGATTTCGCAGCAAAAAAGACGAATTTATAGTGTGATGGGGGCCTGTGGCGCTAGACTCCTTTGAGAGAAGCGTAGGTCTTGAGAAGGCTTAGCGGCACGTGTCCTGATGCCTGAGGCGTTATTACTTACCGCGACGTTAAAGTGGTAATTTATAGGCAGAGTGCTAGGAGTTACGGTGTAAGGTTTGTATCAGACCAGACCGACAGCCGCAATCCAGCCCATTGACAACTTTAGGTATGAGTTCACTCACTATAACTCTAAGGTCAGATACAACCACCTTGTACTGTACGTCTATCTTGTCGCAGGGCTGTTGATGCTTCTCCTCCATTGACTTCGACTGACATTATTCACCTCCAGCTCGAATCCCTCCCTTTTCTAGATCCAGCAAGCATGTCGAGCAACTAGTGGTCTGGCTGGCCTCTCCCGTTCACACTCGCCAGCGCCTCTCTCTCCCGCACCGACTCCCCTTCCCATCTCCATCTCCTTCCTGACCACCTTCACTCTTGACTACTTTCTTACTCCCCTGACGTCGGATTTCCTCCCATCCTTGTCGCCATGGCGTCGGCTATTTTCTTCCTTGATCTGAAGGGCAAGGTAAAACTACCCCAGCAGTGCCTCTGCGTCCGTCCCCCCTGATACCTGACCGTCTTAGTAGACCCTTCTAGCCCGGAACTATCGCGGAGACATCCCTATGTCCGCGGTTGAGAAATTCCCCATCCTCCTCAGCGACGCCGAAGAAGAGAGCTCCGCCGTCGCCCCCTGCTTCTCCCACGAAGGAATCAATGTACGTATCGACCTGCGCCCGTCGCACCGCCGCCGCCGCAGCAGCGGCCGCCGGTGCGGCGCACACACATGCACCTCCCTATTTACCCCCGCTGTTCCCCGCAGCCCGTACCCAGTGCTGCTGGCTGCGCACCAGCATCACCCATCACCATCACTCCCATACCACTTCAATGCGTACTTGCATGGAGAAGTGGCACCTACCGCAGCTCTATTTGGGATTGGTTCGTGTTATTAATTATGGAATTCGGCATAGTACCTCTACATCCGTCACAGCAACCTCTACATCCTGGCCCTGACCAAGAAGAACACCAATGCCACCGAAATTCTCCTCTTCCTACATAAGATTGTCGAGGTGTTTACGGAATACTTCAAGGTACTGGAGGAGGAAAGTATTCGGGATAACTTCGTCATTATCTATGAATTACTCGATGAGATGATGGACTTTGGGTACCCGCAGACCACGGAGAGCAAGATCTTGCAAGAGTAAGTTTCTTTGATCGGCCTGCTGCTGCTCGCAAAGAAGCAATGAGCAGTTTCAATCTTCTTTGAGAATAGCGGGGTGCTGACTCGGGGCGCAATAATCCCAGATACATCACACAAGAATCACACAAGCTCGAAGTCCAAGCCCGACCGCCCATCGCGGTCACCAACGCCGTCTCCTGGCGCAGCGAGGGCATCCGCTACCGCAAGAACGAAGTCTTCCTCGATGTTGTCGAGTCCCTGAACCTCCTCGTCTCCGCGTCTGGTAACGTGCTGCGATCGGAGATCCTGGGCGCCATCAAGATGAAGTGCTACCTGAGTGGGATGCCGGAGCTGCGGCTGGGCCTGAACGACAAGGTCATGTTTGAGACCACGGGCCGCGCCACGCGCGGCAAGGCTGTCGAGATGGAGGATGTCAAGTTCCACCAGTGCGTGCGACTCTCGCGCTTCGAGAATGACCGCACCATCAGCTTCATCCCGCCGGATGGCGAGTTCGAGCTCATGAGCTACCGGCTGAACACGCAGGTGAAGCCGTTGATCTGGGTGGAGTGTCTTGTCGAGTCGCACTCTGGTTCGCGGATGGAGTACATGCTGAAGGTGCGTCGAAACTTTTTTTTTTACACTTGGGTTGGGGCTTGGTTGACTGACGGCACGCATCCGCTACCAACGACAGGCCAAAGCACAATTCAAGCGCCGCAGCACAGCCAACAATGTCGAGATCCTGGTGCCCGTGCCGGAAGATGCCGATTCGCCGCGGTTCCGCACCAACATCGGCACCGTCCACTACGCCCCGGAGAAATCCGCCATCATCTGGAAGATCAAGCAGTTCGGCGGCGGCAAGGAGTTCCTGATGCGCGCGGAGCTGGGCCTGCCCTCCGTCAAGGGCGACGACGAGCACGGCGGCGGCATGACGGGCGGCTTCGGCGGCAGCATGGGCGGCACTGGACAAGGCAAGGCCAAGCGACCGATCAACGTCAAGTTCGAGATCCCCTATTTCACCACCAGTGGGATCCAAGTACGGTACTTGAAGATCACAGAACCAAAGGTATGCTGCAGCGCCTTCCCTCCCCGTGGTTTCTGTTATCATGCTAACTCCAATGGCTTCGATAGCTACAATACCCCTCCCTCCCCTGGGTACGATATATAACCCAGTCGGGCGATATCGCCGTCCGCATGCCAGATGTACAATGATGTATAGCGTTTCCAATCTCCCCCTTGCGCATGTACCGTCCTTTGCCCCTTCTTCTTCTTCTTCTTGTTCCTCTAGTCCAATCAGATCTATCATAAATATTTTCTCACCCTCCTCAACGTGGACTAGTCCAGTCCCTGGCAGTTCTATAGTTAGATGGTCGTGAAAATCTGATTGCTATTGTGCTCTCCCCCCCCGCCCCCCCCCCATCTTCTTCCTTAGGAGTTTTGAGGGTAGTTAGTATAGCGCCGGACGTAGCCCCACTCGCGACATCTTTTCATCTCCCTCTTGTTAGTATGATTGTATATTCCCTTCGATAGGTATAGACCTGCAAGATCCCCCAAGTCAGTTTCCAGGGCTGCATCTCCAACTCAAAATGAGCTGACGGACTGACTGACTGACTAGTCCTCACTTATGTGCAGGCCGGCCGTCTGGATCCTTTACAGTACGCCCAATACAGCGGGCGAGAGGTGGAAGCCCCCCTACGGTAGACTGCACACATACCACGGCGTCTAATTACCCCTGGAGTTGTATATATTCATCTGCTGTACTACCATTCTGATTCCCGCCGAGCCTGTCAAGAGATTTTCCTTTTTGGTTTAAAGAATCTGGTGTTTGGCATAATTCAAAACTCCTCCAGGAATTCGACTCCCGACGACTCCTGGAGTAACCCCATGATCGCCCGGTTACTGGCGAACCAGCCCTCCAGCTCGGCCTCGTTCCCCATCCGCATCATCGGCTCATCGACCAGCAACCCATGGACCGGGTCGGGGTGCAGAGACTGCTGAAGTTGAGGACCGCCGCCGCCGCCATCCCCCCAAGAACTCGGGGCCGCCGACAGACCCAGGGCGGCGAGGTGGTGATCCATCTCGGCGCACGCGGCGGTCGCGGTCGGGTCTGGCGGCGGCGGCGGCGGCTGATGCGGCTGGTGCGGCTGGTGCTGGTGCTGGTGCTGGTGCTTCCGCTGGGAGGTCGTGGTTGTGCGGCGGCACTCCACGTAGCAGCGGGCGACGTTGTAGAGGACCAGGAAGAGCCGGTACATGCGTGCGGCGGCGTCGGAGACCGTCGGGGCGGGGTGGATGGATTCGACGAAGGCCTGGAGAAGCGGAAGGTAGTAGCGGTGATTCTGGGTTTCGATGATGTGGCAGAAGAGGACGATGAAGGGCGAGAAGGGGGCGAAGAGGAGGGTCCTTTTTTTTTGGTTTTGGTTCGGTTAAGTCAGTTGAGGTTGGTTAATTGTTCGTTCGCCTTTGGATTCGTTCGGCGAGGTGCGCGGGGCAGTCCAGTCTCTCTGGCTATTGACTTACCAGTGAATGTACTTGGAGAAGTAGATGGGGGGGTTCTTGTGGATCACGGCCATACAGTCGAGATGTCTCTTCAACGTCGCTTCGGCGGCTTGGATGCAGTTGGAGCTGAACCTGGTGGGCGAGTCGGGGGTCGGGGGCGCGGCCCGATGGACGAGCGTGAGGAGAGAGAGGCGCAGGACGTCGTCGGAGAGCGCGAAAAATTCTATCAGGGCTTCGCCGGACCTCTGCCCAGCTGCTTGGATCCATTGGTTCTATATGGCCGGTATCATCAGAAACCGCTTCAATCTCATTGAACCCCCCTCCCCCTCCGGTGACCTACATGAGTCTCTTGAGTGGCTTGTTCCAACGCGTGTAGGTCATCCACAAGACTTTGGACTCTCGCTTGCCGCACGGCGTCGGGCTGGGCGATCGAGGCAGGGCTGTATAGCATCGCGTAGATGCTGCCCTGGCAGCGCGCGGATTCGATCCACAGAGGGAAGTACGCCATCACCGGGGCGTGGCAGTGGTTGGCCGAGGGTCGCAGGACGGTGATGTCGCCGTCAGGGATGGTTGACGCGCGTCCAAGGCGGAGGGACAGGCTCTTGTCGAGACAGTAGACGCCCCAAAAGAGAAAAAGCTTGTACTGGGTGGTTTCGGGCGAGTCGAGCTTCATGGAGGAAGTCCGATGGTAGCCGAGGGTCTGGCATAGCTCCGACGCCTTGGATGCATATGTCCAGGACATAGAAGGCTTGGAAAGCTCGACGAAGTGGAACGCCTTGGACGGAGGGGTCAGATTGGGCCAGGCCCTCGTGTTGCCAAAGAAGAGATGAGAGACTCACCCCGAACGTCAGGGCCAGAATTGTGCTCGAGGTTGCAGGGAGATGCAGAGGTAGGCCGGCCAGTGCCGTTTCCAGATTGGCTTCGCAGAGACGAGCATGGCCAAAGTACTCTTCCCGACCTGCCTCGGGTAGTTGAAACGCGTAGTCCCAGAAAAGAGAGTGCAGGCCGGCATTCACGGTTATGAAATCGGTCCCCGGACAATTCTCAGAGAAATAGACCCCGAGACACATGTCTGAGAATTGATTCAGTTGGAGGAATTCGTAGATCCAGCCGGTACCGGCGAGGCTCTGGGCTAAGCAACAACCGGTTTTAGAGATGATACATACGTGCTCATGGCCACATCCGATACTGGGGACTCACATTTGGCCAGACGTATGAGGGCTACAGCCTTCTCAATGGGAGGGAGCTCGGAACGTTGGATTCGGAGATGCGGAGTAGGCGTCAACCGAGTGCCAAGTGATTCGCTGGACGTAGTCTGCTTTTTGAGGGTCGCCACAGTATGAGCAAGCGCATCTAGAGTCTGACGCAGCTCTAGACTGCAATCCTGCACAGGATCCGGGCCCAGAACGTTGTGCAGGAAGTCGTTTGCAAAGGCCGAGTGCGCAGTCAATGAGGAGTCCCCTTCCACGAGTGGCCCACCGGCTGAGTCGGCCTGGGGTGCATGGCTGGATACCGCGGGCGTGGAATGGGACTCGTTGGATGGAGTTGATGTACTCCTTGTTAGCCCAGACCGTTGGGGGTCAGGCCGACTTACTTGGAGATCCTGCAGAATTCCGATGATGCCGTCGAGTTGACGTTCGATGTGGTCGATTTTTCTTTCACTGCTCCGTACAAGATAGGACAATAGTCAGTCAGTCAGGTGGATGTAGAAGGTGACAGCCAAACAAGACGCATACTAAAAAGGAGTAAAGTGGATGCGAGTGCGTTTCTCCTTGGCCCTAATCTCGGCATAGGTACACTCAATGCTCTTTTGCTCACAATGCGAACAAGGATCCTGTCGGTTACACCGGATCTAGGGCAGATTAGGATCCATCCGACGTATCAGTCCGGGATGTTTCGCTAAGGCATACCTTGCGATTTCGACAAGCATCGCACTGGCCAGAAGTCAACTACGGCGACGAGGAAACCAAGAGTTGCATCCGGATCACATACAGCTCGTATCATAAGAGTATTCGCGCCCATCCAAGATGCATCCCTGGGAGCATCAGATCCACCCTGAGTATGATTGTCTTCCATGACGAGAACGACGGCTAAGAGGGGTGGTTCAAGCGTCGAGACTCGAATCTGCCCAGTAACTTAATCGGTATTGATATCATCATTCACGTGACATAGCGAGGGTCCAGTGGACCTGGCCGATTCCGAAAGAAGTGCCCGTGATTGATTCAGTTGACTCCTACTAGACCCTAATCCACGGGTTATGGGTGGGGATGGAGCCCGTCGTGTCCGTCGTCCGGGGAGCCTTTAGGGCACTTTTTCTCTACTTGCTACTCCGTACAGTACAGGAAGTTGCCAAGAATACGGACGCCGTGATTCCCGCCCCGAAAGTTCCTGTTGACAGGGCCGAAGTATATAAGGTGCAAAAAGAAATGAATCCCTTGATTGTGGAAAATTCAAGCTCAAAGCGAGGTACTCAGCGTCTGGTGTATCTTTTCGTCGATTTGAAAAATTCTCCCAGTCATCTGCTCTGCTAAATGCCCCCCCCCCCCCCTTTCCCATGGATACTGAGGCGATCGATAGCGAAAAGAGGGCCGCTACAACACCAACCCTAACCCCGACCCCCCCAAACGAGCCCGAAGGCTCTTTCGCCGCCTACAGGCGAATCTTCACGTATGCTGGTCCTCTTGAGCACTCCTTACAGGCAGTCGCATCCTTCGCAGCCGTTTGCTCTGGTGCCGGCATCGCCTTCCAACCCCTCATTGTAGGCCAGTTCATCACCAGTGTCACCGACTTCACATCCTCGCCAGCCTCGCCATCCTCGCAATCGCGACTTCGCTCCGAAGCTTCCAGACTCGCTCTCTACTTCGTCTACCTCGGCATCGCCCGCTTCGCCCTATCCTATATCTACAACACGCTTTTCACCCACACGGCTCACACCATCACTCGCAATATTCGGCATGAATATGTGAAATCGGCGCTCAGCCAGGAAGTGGCATTCTTCGATCAGGGGACTGCTGGCTCGATTGCAACCCAAGCCACGTCCAACGGTCGCATGATCCAGGGTGGAATCAGCGAGAAAATCGGTCTTGTCTTCCAGGGCCTCTCGGCTTTCCTCACTGCTTTCATCATTGCCTTGGTGGTTCAGTGGAAGCTGACACTGATATGCCTCTGCATTGCTCCGGCGACTCTGGTTGTCAATGGTGTGGCAGGCGGGCTCATGGGAGGCTACGAGAACCAGATCCTCGAGATCAACTCGAAGGCGAACGCCTTCTCGGAGAGTGTTCTCTCGAGTGTGCGGACGGCGCATGCCTTCGAGATTCGAGACCGGCTGGTCGACAAGTTTGATGGGTATCTGTGCGCTGCTCATGAGGTTGGCAGCAAGCTTTCGATCATCTTTGGCATCTTCTTCTCCGCGGAGTACTGTATCGTCTACCTGGGCTACGGGTTGGCCTTCTGGCAAGGGATCCGCATGTTGTCCGCAGGGGAGATTGTGGAAACCGGAGACATCTTTACGTGAGTGCTGCCTGCTATGTAAAACGGCTAGGGACTTTCCGCTAACCATGCAGTTGTTGAAGTGTCATCATGTCGGTCATCATTGCGGCGACACAGCTGACCATGCTTGCGCCTTACATGGTCGACTTCACCCGGTCCGCGACGGCGGCGTCGATGCTATTCAACTTGATCGATCGCAAGTCCGAAATCGATCCCTATGACCAGACCGGGCATCAGGCATCGGAGGTTGTAGGGGAAATTGAGTTCGACGAGGTTACTTTTGCCTACCCGACTCGGTCTGAAGCGAAGATCCTGGACCGATTCTCCATGAGAGCGCAGGCGGGCAAGGTCACTGCCCTGGTGGTGAGTTTGGTCCTTGGACGACTTGTCAGTTGATTTCGAAGCTAAGCTAAGCCTGCCTAGGGTCCATCTGGCTCGGGAAAGAGTACAATTGTCGGCCTTTTGGAGCGCTGGTATAACCCCCAGTCAGGAATCATCAAACTAGATGGTCACCCAATCGACCAATGGAATCTCGCCTGGCTCCGGAAAATGGTCCGTCTCGTGCAGCAAGAGCCAGTCCTGTTCCAGGGCACGGTCTTTGACAATATTCAACACGGACTGGTTGGTACCAAATGGGAACATGCCCCGGAAGCTGAGCAAATGGAACGAGTCCAAGAGGCAGCCACCATGGCCTTTGCGCACGATTTCATCGCCGACCTCCCGAACGGGTACCATACCGAGATCGGTCCCCGTGGCGGTCGTCTGTCTGGCGGACAAAAGCAACGGATTGCAATTGCCCGAAGTATTGTTTCTCAGCCTAAAGTGCTGATCCTGGACGAGGCCACCAGTGCTCTGGATCCGCATGCCGAAAGTGTGGTTCAGAAGGCCTTGGATAGGGCTTCCGAAGGCCGGACTACCATCGTCATTGCGCACAAGCTTGCGACCATCCGAAAGGCCGACAACATCATCGTGATGAGAAAGGGGTGCATCGTCGAGCAGGGAACACACGATTCCTTGCTGGCACGGGGCGGCACATATGCACAACTTGTGAGAGTACAGGACTTGGCTGTTTCCAGTCCTGTTTCCAGTCCTGTTTCCAGTCCTGTTTCCAGTCGCGAATCGTCATCGAACCCAGAGTTGGAACCTTCCAATACCGATGCCTCGAAAGCAGATACTGTGACCAAATCCTTGCCTCCAATCTCATACGCCTCGGTTGACAGCAACCATGGAGACACGCCGCAGAAAGAGTATGCCAACTACGATGACCACAAGCAGCGAAATATCGTTTCCGTCGTCTATCGTCTTCTCCGAGAGACCCCCGAGCTTCGAGTCGTGTACTGTCTGGTTTTCACTGGATGCATCGTCGGTGGTAAGTAAAAAACCAAGCACTCGCTGGCCATTATGCCGTGAACTCTTCTCAATAACAACAAAAACAGGAGCCACGTTCCCTGGCCAAGCGATTCTGCTATCTCGAGTTGTTGACATCCTCAGCCTGCCGTCATCGGAATTAGAACACCAGGGAAACTTCCTTGCTACCATGTTCATCGTGCTTGCGGCCGGCTGTCTCGTGTGTTATTTCATTCTCGGCTACGCCACCAACACGGTTGCGCAACATCTCGGCCACAAACTGCGGCGACAGAGTCTTCATAACATGCTGCAGCAAGATCTTCAATTCTTCGACCGCGCGGAGAACCGCACCGGCGCCCTGGTTGCGCGCGTGGACTCGAACCCGCAAGCGATCCTCGAGCTGATGGGCTACAATGTCGGACTGGTCTTGATCGCCGCCCTGAATCTGGTGGCATGCTCTGTCTTGGCCCTGGTGTACTCGTGGAGACTCGGGCTGGTCGTTATCTGCGCCGGCCTCACGCCACTGGTGGGCTCCGGCTACTTGAAGATCCGGCTTGACGCGCAGTTCGATCGTGATGCGTCGAGGCGCTACCTGAACAGCGCGTCCATCGCGTCGGAGGCGGTCACTTCGATGCGCACGATCGCGGCGCTGGCCATCGAGCACACCGTGCTGGAGCGATACACCCGAGAGCTGGATGCAGCGGTCGCAGACCTGACGCGTCCGCTACTCACGGCGATGGCGAGCTTCGCCTTCACCCAGTCGGCCGAATCCTGGTTCCTGGCGCTCGGCTTCTGGTACGGATGTCGCCTGCTGTCGCGGGAGCAGGTCACCCTGTCCGCCTTCTTCGTCGCGTTCCTGGGGGTCTTCTTCTCCGGCCAGAGCGCTGCGCAGCTCTTCCAATACTCCACCAGCATCACCAAGGGCGTCAACGCCGCCAACTACCTCTTCTGGCTGCAGGACCTCCAGCCCAGCGGGCGGGCGACCGAAGAAACCCGCGACGACAATGGCCCCGGCGCAGCAGCAGCAGCCACCATGGATCTGGACCACGTCCAGTTCGCCTACCCTCTCCGACCCGAGATCCCCATCCTCAAAGGCCTTGACCTCAGCGTACGCCTCCCCCCCCCCCTGTTTTGCCCCCAGGAATCTCCAAAACTAACCCACCCATCCCCCCCCCCCGGCTTCAGCTCAAGAAAGGCCAATTCATCGCCCTAGTCGGCGCCTCCGGCAGCGGAAAATCCACCGTCATCGCGCTGCTCGAGCGATTCTACGATCCCACCACCGGCGCAATCCACCTCGACGCCCGCCCGCTCCCCAGCTACCCCCGGCGCCGCTACCGCGCGATCGTCGCGCTCGTCCCGCAGGAACCGGATCTCTTCCCCGTCTCCATCCGCGAGAACATCGCCTTCGGCCTCACCCCGGGCCCACGCCACGCCGACACTCCCACCAGCCCCGGGGCCGGCCCCGAGAAGACCAAGACCGACGAGCAGATCGAGAACGCCCTGCGCGCAGCCCACGCATGGGACTTCGTCGCCTCGCTCCCGGACGGCCTGGCCACCGTTGTAGGCGGTGGTGGCGCGGGGGCAGGGTCGCAGCTCTCTGGCGGCCAGCGGCAGCGCATCGCCATCGCGCGCGCCCTGGTCCGCGACCCGAAGCTGCTGCTGCTCGACGAGGCCACTAGTGCCCTCGACACGGCGAGTGAGCGCGCGGTGCATGCGGCGCTTGCAGCCGCGGCCGCAACCAACAAGAGTGGTGGGCGGATTACCGTCGCTGTGGCGCATCGGCTGAGTACCGTCCGGCAGGCGGATGTGATTTGTGTGGTGCGCGACGGGCGCATCGCGGAGATGGGATCCCATGCGGAGTTGGTGGCCAGGCGGGGGCTGTATTGCGGGATGTGTGAGGCGCAGCAGGCTTTGGATTAGATTGCGAGGTGTTTCTTTCAGCTGCGTTCGAGAAGATCGGTGGTGGCGCTTGTGGAGAGGGCATTTCGTTCAGTCATCTAATCAAATTTCTTGGGTCGTTTCTTTCTTTCTTTCTTTCTTTCTTTCTTTACCGATGGTGGGAAGTGAGCGAAGAAGCAGGCATTTTAATTCGGGTTATTTAGGATTTTCTTTTTGGTCTGACACGGCTTGAATACATACACAGGTACATACAGAATAAAGGCCGAGGAGATTGACGATGCGGCGCATGCTAATCAGGGTTGGAGATTGAAGGGTATCTTTTAACAGGATGGGATGGGAAGGGGGAAGGAGCGTGCATTGTGTGGTTCAATGCACTGAGATTTCTCCACTTGGGGCCAGTGGAATGGGAAGCGTGGGAATTGGCTGGTGGGTGCGGTGCCTAATTTGCTTGGTGGTGCAGGCTAGGTTGTTTGTGATGGGGTGGGTTAGAGGATGTAGGGGATGTGTAGGCATGTGGAGAGGAGGCATCTATCAGACTTCCTCGGTTTCGGGCCCCCTAAACAGTGGGGGAGATGCTCCTTATGACGGATGTCGCGGCGGAGAGTCGCGCATACGCTCATCGACATTGGACGGGTCCCCTGTCAGTGCTGAGGAACTTGTTGGGAAGGTCAATCTGACCTCTTGATCAGTTGATTCGATGGGTAAATCAATCATGCGCCCCGTTGGTCCCGTCGGGCGATTCGACGGTAGGGAGCGGGAATCCATCGCCGTGGCCGGTGGCCGCCGCTTTGGAGAAGCCCTCGCGGGCGAGCATGGTGTTGAGCACGGCGCAGTTGTAGGCCGCTTCGCCGGGGGGCACCACCAAGAAGATATACGTGTTGTCCGTGAACCGGCCGAGGAAGACGTTGAACTGCGGGGTCTTGGTGTGCATGACAACGAACCCCGCGGACGCGGGCGTGGTGTGGGTGTTGCGGGCAGCGCAGTGCTTGAAGGCCTTCATGATGTTGGAGAGGCGCTCATGGCGGTCGTAGATCGGGTTCATGTCGCCGATCTCGGACGAGACGGACGTGACGGTGAGGAAGGTAGAGCGCTCGAAGAGGATGACCTCCTCGGCATCCACGCGTTTGGCGAATGCGTGGAGGAACCGCTCGATGACCGTCAGGTTGGGGATAAGCTTGTGGACGATGCCGGCCCAGGCTTTGTAGAGGGACTGGTCCCAGATGCTGCTGCCGAAGGTGTCGATGGAGAAGTGCTCCGACCGGCTGCGGATCATGGCGGAGCGTTCGTCGTAGATCCGTTGCCGGTGCTCGGCCTGAATGAGGTCAAGCTTGTGGACAAGGCAGAAGACGTGAGCGTTGGGGCTGTACTCCTTCAAGGCATTAATGATGGCGTTGTAGGTGTCGAGGTCGCGCTCGACCTCGCGGGACTCAATGTCAAAGACGTAGATGAGGACAGCAACGTCGGAGAAGATGTTGCCTCGTTGGGAAGCGAGGTAGGTCTCCATGAAGGCATCTTGTCTAGAATGAGGGAATTTGGTCAATGGATGAATTATTCACTGCAAGGCCCGACGACTTGGTTGACCTACCCTCCGCAATCCCAAAGATTAAGTGTAAGGTTCCCCATGAACTTGACATGACTATGCTCGACATCGATGGTGGCACCCAGGCGTCGGACATCCTTGGCCACGTAATTGCTGAAGATGATTGATCGCATAGAAGATTTCCCCGAGCCACTCTTTCCCATCAGGAGAACCTTTCTCTTCTTCTTGCGGAGATCCATATTTGGAGAAGGAGGGAAGACTGTCCCGTTAACCGTACCCCGCACTTGTTAAAGGATAGAATCTCAGCAGGGGAGACGATCAATGAAGAGAAGAGGGTGCTAATCAATGGGAGGATATAGGGAATGTGCACCCATCTGAATGTGCACCTTGCAAGGGAAAATTGTAAGTGGAGGTAGAGAAACTGCTACAGCAAGAAGGCTCGCTCCAGCAAAAGGGCCGGAGGAGTCGCTCACCCAGCCTCCCGCCCTCCTCAGCGTCATCGCTGTTTGGGTCAACAATGTTCCGAAGGCCGCCCTGTCACGTGCAGTTGCACGCATCGGGTCATTTCATCTCAACGCACGATTTAAGATGTATCTATTATAAGCTGAGGGCTGGCCTGTATGTACAATTGATCATACGAGCACTCACTACTCTCTTTGCGACTTCTTTCAATCCATTCCCCAGTAATGATTGATGTAGATGTACAGACCAATATCCATGTGTACATGAAAAAGTAAAATATCAGAATCCACCCCCATAGAAACAAATGTACAGCAGAAGCCAATTAGGTATAACATTCAAGGTGATCCAGTCCAGGATCGACCCGAATGGAGTTCTTCACACACAGAGAGAGGGAGAACAGTAAATATGAAACAAGGCGAAGGAATATCCGGTCATCAAAGTCATAAGCACTTCCACCAGCCGTAAGGTAATCAGCAAACGCAAGCTGGCGGAGTCAGGTATCCAGAAAATCAACGAGGTATGCGATCATTAGAAAACAGTGCCGTCCGAGCGGATCATGATGGGGGGCTCCTTCGTATTGGGCCTGGATACTTCGGCGATTTCGCGACCACCCTAGGGTTGATTGTTAGCATGTTTTCCCCTCAATGGGTATCCGACATGGATTTCCAGCTTACCTTCCATGAGCCTGCCTCTAGCATCTGTGCAAGTGTCAACTGGTCTTCTCCTACCAGCCCCAGCTGCCCGTTGACTTCTGACAACAGTTCGTCGAGGAAGCCAACAGTGACGGCGCGCCACTCCACCACCACATCATCATCCGTCGAGAAAAGGGGCACAACCTCGACATTTGGCTGTCCTTTGATCTGAGCGTTCTCTCTGTATGCCGTGAGCCCGCGCTCCAGGTCTTTCTCCTTCAGACTCAACAGTCCCATATCAATCAGTAGGCCGCCGTTGCGATATTCAGGAAGACCCGTCAACAGTTCACTGCCTGCAAAGTGGATCTTCATCAATTTCGACATGGGAACCATGATGGAGTAGCAGAGCCATTGCGTCAATTTGTGGAACGGGACGATGTTCTCCCAGGGCTGTGCGGGGGGCGATTTAGGCAGATCAGAGCAGGGCCATGCGTCTCCGATAGACAGGCCATCAATCTGCGTTCTCGAGGGGGGCCAGATCGGGGTGAGTCCATCCATGAGCACACTCCAGAGAGTGGTGATAGGAACGATTGGAACGGACGAGGCGAGTGTGGACGGGTGAGAAAGAAGGTAATCTGCATATCGTAGGTCAGTTGGTGTTAGACAGAAGACAGACCGGTCGGTCTCCGCTTACCTAGCAAGTTTCCAGGTCGCGCGTCGACGCCGAAGAAGTCTTGGTTGTTCAAAGCTTCGGAGAGTCGGATCAGCAGTCCAGCGCGACCTTGAATGCCTGCGAGCGGGTTCTGCTCCGAGTGTTGCATTCCTTTAGCAAGCACCTCCACGGTAATCTTCTTCAGCCCGGCGCCGTCCACCTGACAGGGTTCTGTGGGGTCGCTGCTGAACAAGCCACTCTTGAACATTTCCAACGTAGCTACTGCCAAGCCTTCGCTGCGAGAGTAGATCTTGCCCGACTCCTTGGATTTGTAGGACCATCCGTTCCCTGCGCCCGCATCGAGGAGAACGGAGACGACAAATAAATCAATCAGCCGACGGGTTCGTTCTTGCGCGTCAATAGTGCTAGGCCAGGACTGAAGCAGTTGGTTGACGCGGGGTCGTCCACCCACGTCGAAGTGCTGCCAGCGTCCATGAGGAGGGATCGAGTCGTAGTCGGGAGCATAGTCTCTCTAGAAGGAACCAGCTTGGTTAGCACTGAATCCCGAGGCAAATACGACGGGTCCTCAAAGTGCGTGGCGTTCTCTTACCTTGATGATAGATACAATGTACGACGCCGTTGCGATAAATTTGCTCATGTCCACATCAAAGTGGTTAAGTCGGTTTCTCTTCGCCTTGTTGAGAACGTATGAGCATCTTTCGCGGACGGCGTGGATGCTCCGCAGATAAGCTGCGGGATCCAGGGCTGGATCGGGCGGTTTGGCAATCGGCATCTCTGGTATGGAGGCAGGCAACCCGCTTCCTTTGTACCCCGGGGATCTCAACGAGGCACTCGAGGTCCGGGCACTGTTAGCGGAGGCAAAGGATTCCTGTTCATCCTTTTCACTCTGGATCGAGTTCTTAGAGTCCTTGCGCTTGAAAAGACCCATGGTGGGCGGAGAGTGTGTTGGTTAGAGGGGGTGGGCGGGTGGGCGAGATAGATGAAACACAAGAGTGAGAGCGTCCACAGCGCTCAGAGAAAAGGAAACTAGAAACTAGATGGCTTCCCGTGAAGAAGTCGAGGATGGTAAGAACCGAGGAGAAAGAACGATAAAGTTCCAAGGCTAGACTGAACGTCTGGTGTCAGCAGCAGAAGTGCCGAACGCAAAATTGGGCACCCAGAAGAGCAAAAGGTCATAAACAGAACGAAGAGATCTGCAGTGGTTGCTCCCAGCGGGCGAGAGTGAGAATGAGAGGGAAAAAGAAAGAGAGAGACTGGAGTGACGGAAAGGAAAAAAGGACAAGCCCTTATTTTACATATGAGTTTACTTTTGGGATCTGGCTAGCTGTCTAGATTTTGCTTTTCTTCTTTTAATCTGAATGTGAATTTTATTTTTGGGGAGGAGGGGGGAGGGGAGAGTGAATTATTTTTACATGAAATTACCATGTTTTCTTGTCATTTCTGTCCCTAGAAGGATTTTTTTTTCTTGTATTTTTATTTTTGTTTTCTTATTTTTTTTTCTTGTTCATTTAGATCAAGGTTAGCAAATGGAGGGGGAAAAGAGTCCAAACTACTAATTAGAAGGAGGGGAAGTAATAATAACAATAATAACGACAACAACAACAGTGTAATACAGAGCGGGGGCAGTCGAGGGGAAAGTCGAGCTTAGAGAACATTAGGAAAGGTTAGGAAACTAAGGGAGGTTAGGAACCTTAGCAGGGCTACTAAGACCTCCCTCATTGGCACAAAAGGACCCGGGTGAGTGAGCCACGGCCCTTTCTACGGCGCAGAACCAGTAACCTAGTCGAGTCTCGGAGTCGGGAGGTGGAGAGCTTGGGAGGGGGAGGATGTTTAAACCGGCTGCATGGCGGGTTTTAGTCTCTGATAGAGACAGATGGATTTTGGTTTCTCTAGTCAGTCTAGTCAGGGGGGGCCATACAGTGCATCCTGCATCCTGCATACTACATACACAGTACACACCAACTGTTAACCAAGTAAACATAACCTAACATAACATAACAGGAGGCAACTACTGACAGTCCACAGAGCTGATTACTGATAGGATAGGAGCCCGTTTATGTCAGTTGTTCAGTCAGATTTATTCTTTCTTTCTGGCCCCGCAAACCAACCGGTGCCCTTAAAGACCTGAGCAGCTGAGGGGTCAATGAGTTTATTGAGATTATAGTGTGATTGATGACCATCGAGGCAACACATCCGAAGCTAGTGATGAGGTCAGAGCCGTCGCAGTCTCACCCTGTTCTTTATCTCAAGTCCTAAACTTATACAGTACATTGTGCAGCATGTACATATCCTGTACTGTGTGCCCTAAATCTCCTGCGATGCATGGCAGCTGCATCCATCTCAGAACCGCATACAGCTGCAATACCGGACTTTGCCGTAATATACAGTACCATTTTCTTCTGGTACCATACCATACCTAATCATACCTTCTTGTCACTACAGGACCACCAACTATTCGTACTAACTTACTCAGTTGTCTCCAGCTTACTTTTTCAGGAGTACCATGCGCCCCTCAAGGCAGCCATCAAGTGAGCCACTGTGTTGTGTGCCAATTTCCCAGTATGGAGCATCTGCTACAGAAATGGATCCAAGATGGACCGCAGGACGCAGGACGAAAAG